AGTCCGTTTGGGTGCAGTCCTCCTGCATTTTGATTCTAAGTCAAGCAAAATAGGGGATTAGCCAAAGTAGGAGGGGAAACCTGACATGGCTGTCTGCTGTGGGAGATGGGGGGCCATGGAAGCTGACGTGACCAGCTGGTGACAGTGGGGACATGGAGGCCTGAGACACGAGTTCCAGTGCTCTGCTTGGCTGGGAACCCTGGGTGGGTCTCTTGTATTCCTTCCACTCATAGATCCAGCCAGCTAGTCTACAAGGCTCTATGGGTAGATCAATCAGAAGATTCTGTTCTCCTTTCCTAATTGTGAGAGAGGAGGAGGAGGAGGGGGAGGAGGGGGAGGAGGAGGAGGAGGAGGAGGAGGAGGAGGAGGAGGAGGAGGAGGAGGAGGAGGATAAACAGATGTTTGAACAAAAGAACTAAATATACACAGAGAACCCTTGCATATCCGCTCCAGACCTGAAAACTAAAGGCTAGTCTGCCATAATCCTCCTCCTTCATTGGAAAACATGTGCAATATTTGCCAGTTATGTCTGATTCCAGCAACTTCCCTGGAACAAATCAGTAGCAATTCGCAACAATTGATAAAAATCCATTAAACACCTGTAATGGACCAAATTGCTGCCCTTTAACTACTTCAAACATCTGGATAGGTGGGAATGAGCTTGGAACCAAAGCCTCAATTTCCCAGATGCCTTTTAATCTATTGTGGAGGTAGCCTCGAAATGGAAGGTCCACCCCCTCTCCATTTCTCCTAGCCAGGTGGGGACTGGAACAGCAAGAGCTCAGGAGGCTTTGGCTCCAACACTTTCCGGAGTGGCCACCTTGCCATCCATCAGCAGCCTCCTGTGGTGTAGAAAGGACATGGATTTTTGGAGTCAGAGAAACCTGTGATGAAATCCCATCTTTTGCAAACACTAGCTGCCAGCCCAGAGAAAGCTAGTTCATTATGACTATCCCGAGGACTAAAAGAGATGGTGGTTAGCAAGGACCAGTGCGCAACCTAGCATAGAGTATATGCAACAGATACTAGCTGCCTCCTCCTCATCTCCACCCACATACAGCTGTCAATCAATCAATAGGCAAGTATTTGTTGGATGCAAATTGAGTGTTCAACACAATGGGAGTTCAAGAGACACAGATAAATAAGCCAGATTACTGCCTGGGGAGAACTCCTAGGATAATGAGGAAGATGAGAAGATCACCTAAATAGGAAATGAAAATGCTTCAACACAGAAACAGAGTAATAGTATTACAGGGAGGCAATCTAGGCCTTCCCAGGCTTGCAGTTATCTATCTACTTGGTACTGCTCTTACTGGCTAGATGACCTTGACCAATACTTAGCCCCTTCAGTCTTGGCTCCTAATCTGTAAAATGAGGAAAATGGCATCAATCTCATAATCCTGTGGTAAGGATTAAATTAAATTAAATTAAATATGACCCTTATCAGGTGTGTAACTTCATTTATCGAAATGTGGAAAATAAATTGACCTACCTTATAGGGAAGTTCTAAAGATTAAATTTGTTAATGCATATAAAGCTTTTCAAAAAGGATTATATAAATGTTAGTTATCATTACCTTCTAGAACATAAATTCCTTGAGGAAAGGATTTTGATCTGCTGTATGCCCTGATACGTTTCCAATAGAACCGGGCCTGGCACACAGTTCATAAATATTAGTTGAGTGCATGAGCTGTTGACTGTTGTAGGAGAGGGGCAGGTGCCATTCCAAGAAGGCTTCCTGGAAGAGGTGATGCAGAAAGGTGAATAGGAGTTTTTAATGTTAAGGAGGTGAAAAGGACAAGCCCGCAGAGAAAACAGCTCAGGAGGGATGCCAGGCAAGAAAGAGCATGGTGTGACAGGAGACCGCAGACAATCTAATATGGGTAGGCAAAAAGCTTCAAGTCAGGCAGAGTCAGGAGATGGAAGCTCTCCCAGATCATCCACTGATTGATTTTCATGGGACCAAATACAACCTGGAAAACACACCCAAGCAACATGTGAGTAGTTGACAAAAACAACTTCCATCAGCCGGTCCTACAGCCTCCAGGACACTGGGCCTGATCCCAAAAGAGCAACAGAAATAGCATTTCCCATGAGCCCTTTGCCTCTAGGGAATGTGCCATCACAGGGGACCCTTACCCATCTGTCTGAAAGATTTCCAGCCCACTTGGAGAACCAGGCAACCATGCCTGTGAACTCTGACCCCATCAATCCCAGCAGGGGCTGGGGAAGCATTTACATCTTCAAAGGTCCTGGTAAATGTTAGCCAACAGCCTCCTCCCAATCCCCATCCCTCACCTCCTCCCGCTCTGGGCCACCAGGGGTCAGGGACTAGGGTCACACCTGGCCAGGCCCAGCCCAGACACAGATTCTGCCCTACATGTCATTCAGAGTCATCCCACTCTGGATCCCACTCACTCCCTCTTGGACTTCTTCCCCTCCACACACCCCTGGGCCCAGGGCCAGGGGGAAATGTTGGGCCCAACGGAGAAGGGGCCCTGTAAGAAAGGCCCAGGACACCTTCTCAGGTGCCTTTAGAGAAATGGGGACTCAGGTCAGCTGCCTTGGAAGGTGCTCTGGGTTCTGGATTCAGGTAGAGAGCAGGATTCTAAATCAGGGTCAGCTCAGGACTGCCTGGTCAGGCAGGTCTCAGTGACCTCTTCCTGACCCCAGGAAGCTCCAGTTGTCTTTCTGATCTCCTAGAGGCAGGGAGGCCTGTTAACTTTTACCAGCCTCCTTTGACATGGAGTGCAAATAGGAACCTGGGAGGGAGGTTCATACAAGTGTCAGGGCTCAGGCAATACTTGCAGCCTCACCCCCTCCACCCAGCCCTGGAGCCCCAGGCCAGCACACCCTGCTCCTTCACTCCAGGCCACAGGAGGTGTGAGGAGCAGGGCTCTGGGCCCAGAAAAGCAAAAGAGGAGCCCAGGTCCTGGGGATCTGCCACCACACTGGCCATTGGCTTCGGTCCCACCTCAGACTTCAATTTTCCCTGCAGATGGCTCCCAGGACATTATAGCCTCAGCTCACAGCCATGAGCAGGGACAGGTCTGCCATTTTACAGATGAGCATAGCAGCATATTCCTCACCAGGGCAGAATTAGGACTGGAACCCACGGATTGGTGGTTCTGAGATGCCAATGCCTAGCTATGCTCCTCTGGAGACGGTTACCGGGCCAATGCTGGCAAAATGCAGTAAGAATGAATACTGGTAGCACTGTCCTGTGAGCCTCCCAGCCCTTTCTGCTTTCAGCCTACTCTTGAGCAAAGTTCTTTCAATGGCTCCTACCTGCAGGGGAGCAGGCCCAGGGGCCTAAGCCTGGATTAAGGCCTCGGCTCTCCCAATAATAAGCTGTGTGGCTTAGAGAAATCATTTGCCCTTTCTGGGCCTCAGTTTCCCCACTTACAAAACAGAGTAGGGAGAAGGTATCTAAGATCACCTTAATTCTGATTCCAAGGTTTCATTATCTTTAGTTTCTTCCATCCCCAACCTCTTTTTAAAACCCTGCCTGATTCTCCTCTTCGGCTCTTACCACAGAACTCTATAGGCAGGGGACAGCATCCAGCCTAATTCCTTTATTTAAAAAAAAAATAAGATAGCTGGAATCCAAAGACATGAATTAGCTGAGTGACCTTGAGAGAGATGCCTCAAGGCAGAGCCAGGCCTGGCATGCTAGTCTCCTGGTGATTTATGCTGTGCCAGCTATGGCTCAGAATGCCCGGAGAACCCTACCCTCTCCCAGGGTACAAACTAAATCTTCCCTGGCTTTCAGGATCTGCCTGCCCACAGACCTGTGTCCTTACTGCCCACTGAAGACCACCTCACTCTCGTCAGATTCATTCTCTCTCTCCAAAAGGTCCCAGGATCGGTCTGACCCTCAGCCCGGCCTCAAGAAGGTCCCTGAACAACTCACCTCAAGTCCTCCACTCTCTCCAAAGCCTCCTCTCCAGAGGCCTCCTGTCCTTATGCCCAGCTCCCTGACCACTTGTCTGAGTCCAGCTTGCTCACTTCAGCTTCTCCCTACTCTTGAACATATCCCACTCCACCGCTGCCTTCTCTACAAACACCAAGGACAGTGGGGTGCACCAGTTCATAGTTGGGCACAGACCTTGACAGCCTGGCATTGAATCCTGACCCTACCACTCACTGGTCATATAGCTTCAGACAAACGACTTAACCCCCCTGTACTTCGGTTCATTCTTGTGAAAAGGAGGGATAACAGGAGTTTCTACCTCAGCCATTGTTAGCATTGCCATTATGAAGACGTACAACTATTTGAAACAGTGCCTGGCAGGTGCCTACGTTGTTCTCCATGACCATATCCTCCCTTATTGGACTATAGGTTTCTCAGAGTGCAAATAAAATAACATATTTTTGGGGAAAAGAATTTGAGATTTGTAAGTGTCTAATATACCAGATTTAAAAAACTTGTTATAAAATTTTTGATGCATTTCTTGGTACCTTCTAGAACAGTGGCTGGTGTGGTCCAATGAAGCATTTAGCAATGGATAGATAGGTCTATAAGAACCCCCAGTGCCAGGAGCAACGCAGCATTGGGAAGGACCAGCTTGTGATGGGAATGCTGTACAGGATCTCGGAACGGCACATTTTCTCCCACCGGGGCATTCCCCAAGCCATGAAGATTCCCCTTAAACTTCTAAATACTCCTTCCCATCTCCCACCAGCAGAATCCCTTAAATTCTATTGGTCCACCTGCTTTGCTTTGGTGCCCCAGCCAGCTCCCTCTCCCTCCCTGCTGCAGACAAAAGGCTTTGGGGTGATTGATGATGACAGTGACCTGCCACTGACCCTCCCAACCTGGGTCCCGCTGCTGCCATGAGCCCCCCAGCACAGCAGCCTTCACTGCTGTTTGAAATGCCGACTCTCCGCCCCATGGGGCTGCTGGTTTTCCTCCACTGTGAAGTGGAATCTTTGATGTGTATCCTCCTGGGTTGTCTCCAAATATCTGAGTCCTGGAATCACTGCCTACAAAAACTCACCAGACTCTCTGTGTGGGTCAGGGCAAGAGGCTGGACAGATCCAGGTTCAAATCCTGACTCCTCCATTTATAAGCTCTTCTCCTTTCCAAATTCCAGATTCTTTACGGTGAAGAAGGGACCTAAGGCATACCACAGAGAACCACTGAAAGGGTTACATAATACAGACAGCTTCTGGCACATGCTAGCACCCTGTAATTACTCCAAAAAATGACAGGTATGAGGAAGGATTCTAATGATGTGAAGGCAGAGGGTGGTACATGAGGACCAACTTGGACTCCTCTTCTCCTCCTCCTCCTCCTCCTCTTCTCCTTCTCCTTGTGACATCCTTGATCTTCCTTCTCCTAGAATAGTGATATCCAAAGCATATCTCCCACTCCCCCCACCCCCCTCATACACACATACACACACACACACACACACACACACAAGCTTTTTTCCTTTGACTTCCTCCCTTCCCAGAATTCCTCTAGCTGGATCTTTGGGACAATCTAGCCTGTGGAGCTATCTCCTTTTCACTTCTCAGCATCATTGGTCACTCAGAGTATTTGCTGATTGGGCTCATGTCCCTACAGCTGAGCTGCCAGAGACTTGCTCTCCTTACAGAAGAATCTGTTTCCACTCAACCGCTGAGCATTTCCCATGTCATAATTTTAAAGCCACTTATTTACTCATTTTCTTCCGTTTATTTGCCTAGTCCTCAAAAAAAAAAAAAAAAAACTATTTGGTTGAAGTGACTTCCTGCAACCAAATGTTGGTGCCCAGCTGAAAGGTATCAAGCCCTCTCTGTACTTGGAGATTGAGCTGCGGCTCAGGCTGACCACCATTCTGAAACAAACAGCAGACCAAAAGAATGTTCACTAGGTCCTACTCCTGCAATTTTAACTAGACTTTAGTGAAATGTGACCCATCAATAGCAGTTATCTGGAGAGGTGATTGCATAGAGGCCTGAAGCCAATGAAACCAATAGTTTCAATGAAGCCACCATATACCCATTAGGGCAGGACAAGAAAGAGGAGATTCACACCAGCAACCTCATTCCCCTGGTGCTGCTAATGCTGGTCAAAACTTGACTCAAGAAGTAAGCATGGAGAGGCCAGGCGCAGTGGGACAGCCTGTAATGCCATCGGCCCGAAGGCTGAGGCAGGAGGATCGCAAGTTCAAAACCAGCCTCAGCAACATTGAGGTGCTAAGCAACTCAGTGAGACCCTGTCTCTAAATAAAATATGAAATAGGGCTGGGGATGTGGCTCAGTGGTCAAGTGCCCCAAGTTCAATCCCTGGAAACCACCCCCCAACCCACCAAAAAAAAGAAGGTGGCAGCATAGGTGGCTGGGAAAGCAGAAGAGTAGAATAGAGTTTGCATTTGACAGAAAAGGAGGTTTGGCCTACCTCATAGGCCACATGTTCCCCTCCAGTCTCTCTCTCCCTCTCTCTCTCTCTCTCTCTCTCTCTCTCCCCCCCCCCACCCAACTCACCCTTTTCTCTCTTCTCCCTGTCACTCACTCTATCTCAGAAGCCTCATTTATGGGGACTTTAAAGACAGCAGAAACCAGACTTCCTATACTCTTAATCCCAAGGGAATAATGTACGGTCAATGTGACCTAAGAAAAAAGAAAACTTTAAGGTGGGAAAAAGATAACTGTTTTTTAAATGTCAGTAAACACCTCTGTAAGACAGCCCAACCCACAAAGGCAATCGGTGGAGGTCGAGATTTTTCCAGGTCTTGCTTTCAGGAAGCTCATGGGACAAAGCAAATTTTCCTGAAAGAACCGCATGGGTGGGAGTGTATCTCTGCTCTCTGTTCCCACATCCTGGGATGTTCAGAGCCACGGATGATGGGGACACGATAGGGAGAGGGCTGGGGAGGGGGTAGATTTAAGAACTGAAATGCAGAGGACCTTCAGAAGGACTCCTCTCTCCTCCCTGGAGCAAAATGAACTCAGGGAGAAGGAGGCAAGGGGGTGGGGAGAGCGTTCCAAGCCGAAGGAGTCGCTGAGTTAAATTACAGGGGCCTGGGAGGGATGATTAACAACCCTCATGGTTTTCTGCTTCACAGCCATTACTCACTCCAAACCTGGGGCTTCTCGGTTACATAGCCCAGCGCAGGCCGACCATTTTTTCCATTGACTGAAAACACATTCTGACTGAAAACAAACTTTGGATCCCCGAGGCTTGGCAGGCCCTGGGTCCTTCTCCATATTTAATCAACGGGAAGCTAAACACTTTCAATCTGTGATGGCTCATTTGGACGGGGTCTCGGGGCTTTTGCTTGGTGCCAGATATAATAACTCTCCTCTCTCTTTTCTAAGGCCTATTTTATAATTTTGCTGTTTTTCAATGTCAAGCCCATCTTTTGAAGAATTTTTATTGGATTTCCTGCTAGACTTCAACGAGGATTTTTCTTGCTTTGGCAGAAATATCAAGCAGAACAGGGGAAAAACTCAATCATCGTCTTGGAAAGTCGGGATGGTGTGTGCATGGAGGGGGGGAGCCCTTTGTCTGTTTGCACACAAACAGGTTTCTAGAAGGCTGGAGCCCCAGTTGCCAGCTTCCAGGGGCCCTCCAACTTCTGATTCATGGGGTGAAAATTGACAAGGCAAGGCGGATGGATGTGGGAAGAGAGGGAAGTTGGAACAGGATGAAGAGAAGTGAGGTGTGAGTGCGTAAGAAAGGCCAAGGGTGGGTAGGGCTCTACACAGGGTCCAGGTTGCGGCCATGACACGGCCACATGGGGTCCAGGCCTGGACCATGGCACTGCCAGGCACGCCTGTTCAGGCAAACTGCAGGGACTGTGGGGGACAGGAAGACGCTGCCCCCTTGGAGGACAGAAGACGAACTCTGCCCCCTTTCTCAACCCCTCAGAGCTCGTAAAACCCCAAGACTGGGAGGGAAGGCCACGCCCCAGAGGTTCCCAAGTTACCAGCCATAGCCAGGGTCTGTACGCCTGCTCAAGGCTACGTTCATATCTTTAATTTTTCTTCACAGAGATTATTCCTCAGGGGAAGCAGCTTGCCAGTGAGTGACAGCTTTTGTTTGCTCATGTTTTCCTCTCCTCCCAGAGTCAACTTTCAGAATATACCAGTATGTTCCTTCTCGCTTGACTTTCTTTTCTGTCTTTTTTTATTCCCTCCCTGTGGGTGAGGGGGGAGCATTTCTACAGCATATTATCCAGAGAAGTGGTGCTTTGTCCAACAGTGAGAGAGGGAGGGAGAGCCCTTCCATGTCCTCTTTTTCTGTTGTCTTGGCTTTTATTTGTTAGTGTTAAGAGGTTAGGTGCTCGCTTCATACCTCCTCGGCCACTTCACACCTGCTACGATTAGCTTCACAATTCACAGAACGTTCTCCCAAGTCAACTCACCTTTTTATTCCCACAACAGTCCTTGGAGATCAAACAGGCAGGTACTGGAACCATTGTTCTAGAGATGAACGTGTAAGATTCGCAGGCCAAGTGACTTGCCTGAGTCTTGGGGGCAAGAAGTGGCCAAACCCAGGTCTGAATCAAGTTGGGAACTTTTTTCTATTGTGCTATAAAATGTATTTTCTGCAAAGGAGCTCCCCAGCCCCTTTAGTAAGCGCTCTCCCTATGCTAGAGAGAACTCCCCAAAGTAAATTCCCCAAAACAGAATATACTGGGAGTAAAGAAATCAGAGCAATTTTTACCATATCCACAAATTGCTTTCTTTGGGCTCAACTACAGGACAAGGCTCCCAAGGCACCTAAGCTACTCCTAGTCTTTCCACCTCCAGTAGGAAAAAAGACATGTACAGATGAGTAAACCAAAGTACTTATGGAATACCCTCTCAGAGCTCAATCCTGGACTAGAATATTATGAGGTTTCATAAGAGAAAAAGATACAGGAGGTGGGTGAGACATAGACTCTTAGAACACTATAGCTGCAAAGGACCTTAGAGATCATCCCTCACAGCCCTTCACTTACCAATGAGGAGATAAGACAGAGAGGGAAATAGGAACTCGACAGGGGCAATAAGAGACCATATTCACCTTCATGCTAAAGAGTGTGGTAGAGGCCATCAGTTGGTCACAAAGAACAAAGTGTTCAGGGACATGTTCTAGGGGAAAATAAAACTTGGTCTCAAACTTTGAAGTGTGGGTAAAACTAGGAAGGATGGACAAGAAGAGAAGGACCATCAAAGCAGAAGTAAGAAGGTAAACTACAGTCCAGAGTGTTCGTGGGACTATAAGGAATGGGGAGGCTGAAAACTTGGATGAAGCCAGATCACGGAGGACCCTAAGCAAACAGGAAAAGCCATGCAGAGCCAGTGAGAGGTCACTTGAAGGTCAGCATTTTGGCACGTGCTCACCATGAAGCCCTGCTCCTGTAATTTCCCAAACCCCAGAACATTTCCTCCACACCCACACCTACCACATCTAAATTCACTCCACAGAAGCCTGTGGGCAGACAAGGTCTTCACTTGCACTCTGTTTTGAGTCTGGATTGAGCAGCGACCACTTCAGAGTTCACCTGGCCCAGAACTTTCTGGTCATCCTGTCTCCCCTCTGACCCTCCTCTCATTCCCGAGGCTACCACCCCAGTGGTCCCTATGAGTTCCCCGACTCCAAGGCCCTTGTCCATGGCCATCCAGGGAGGTGACAGGCAAGGACTGGTTTGACTAGGCTGAAAAGACAGAGTGAAGAAGCAGAGAAGGGTTGGTAGGAATCACGTGGGAGAACAAGGAAATCAGAGCAGAAAGTCCTCTCCCCAGGACATCAAAGAAGCTCCAAGAAAACGGAAATGAAGAGCAGGAAGCTCTTCAGCCCTCATCTGCAGGACACGAAAGCTGGAGAAATGAGCACATCTATGTCCCTGGCCCCCTGCAGCACCCCTATGGCTTAAGGAGATCCCTTAGCTTTTGCTCCTGCTTACCTTGTGCCTCACTTTACCCATTTGGACCTAAAAACAAAAATCCCTGTCCTCTTCTTGGTGAAGAATCACCAAGACTAGGACAAAGACAAATCAGAACCTCCAGACCCACAATTTCAGAAAAGGGGCATGGTGGTTCTGCACTAAGGCTCATAATGACCACAATAATGTCACTGTTGCTCTGCTTCCAAAAACAAAGCCTGTCCGCCCTCATGAACAGCCCTTTGTTCTCCCAGCA